TTAATTAATTTTTTAATTTTCTTGCCGGCTAAGTCCCTTTATTAATCCGGGGTCGCCACAGCGGAATGAACCGCCAACTTATCCAGCAAGTTTTTACACAGCGGATGCCCTTCCAGACGCAACCCATCTCTGGGAAACATCCACACACACATTCACACACACACTCATACACTACGGACAATTTAGCCTACCCAATTCACCTGTACCGCATGTCTTTGGACTGTGGGGGAAACCGGAGCACCCGGAGGAAACCCACGCGAAGGCAGGGAGAACATGCAAACTCCAAACAGAAACGCCAACTGAGCCGATGCTCGAACCAGCGACCCAGCAACCTTCTTGCTGTGAGGCGACAGCACTACCTTCTGCGCCACTGCTTCTCCCCTTGATAAAAATATTCATTTTCGAAATGGGGTGTACTTATAGAGAGAAAAACGACATACACATATATTTATATAGAGAGAGAGAACTACACACACATCATACTAACAGACTATGCCATAATGCACCTCACACACACTGAATACATGGACTATATACTCAGCATCCACACGCATCGGGCTGAGTCTTGTTATTGTATTCTTGTTATTGTGGCACTACGAAGCATTTTTTGTCTAGTCTTTTCTATGTTTTTGATCTTTGTCTTTGGTTATTGGTTATTTTGATGGTTATTTTATCTTTGCCGACTGTTTTTGACCACGACTCGGGATTTTCTGTATGTATCTGTTGACCTGTTTTGACCGTTGCCTGCCTGACTAGTCTTGTAAATAAACTGATCCTCAACCCTGTTTGTCCAGCACTGTTGTGTTACAATACAGTTCATTACACATCTTAAGGTTCATGATAATTGGGTTGATGTATTAAATTAACAAAGAAATTATCAAAAATATACTTATAAATTATGTAGGTTTTAAGTTATGTTTTAAAGGGAAAACATCTTTTTTTTTTCTTTTGAGGATTTAAGCTGCTTTAGTTCTTGCATTATATTCAAATTAAATCATTTGCTGATCTACAAATTGGTGGTATTTTGACAAACATTTATCAGTATGAGTGATTTGGTAATGAATAGAAAACCATTTGCCCGACAATATGATCCCTTGACCATATATGCGAATCTAACACAAGAATGTACAAATCCTGGGAAAATCCAACTACAGTAAATACAGAAGCTAAAACTGTGAGGATCACTTTACACCTCAGACACCGGTATTAGTGTTTGCTGAGAAATAACCGGAATATTTCACCTCCAGCACTCTGGACAGCGCTAGTTTAGCCTAATATGTGAAACACTCCATGAAGAGGGTTATATAGTGCTGGAATACCAAACATTCCTGCTAAATTCCCAGTAAAATCATGATGAGCTTCAGCCACCTCTTCAACTGCTCTTCTGGAGTGTATTGGTTTCTACAGCAGCAGCAGCAGCATCGATGTCTCAGATTGACCAGTGTATGAGTGTTTTCTCAGTTGCAGTGTATTGTTGATTTTAAGGGTCCTAATGACAGAAAAATGCCCCTTGACCTCAGCACCAATTGCATGAAAACTATTTGACCTTTGACCTGGAGATCTAAAGAGGGCATATGGGCACAGAGATACATGGCATTTTAAATAGACTGTTCGCAGAACACTTAAGAAAGAATAATTTATCTGTTTACTTTGTACAGTATGTGCAATCACATACATTCATATATATATATATATATATATATATATATATATATATATATATATATATATATATATATATATATGTGTGTGTGTGTGTGTGTGTGTGTGTGTGTGTGTGTGTGTGTGTGTGTGTGTGTGTGTGTGTGTGTGTGTGTGGAAGTTTGCATTCAATACAGCACTCAGGATTACGTGCAGAGTCTGTGGAAATAAATGTTGTATATAATGTTCACATAGGCAATACGGTGGCTCAGTGGTTAGCACTGTCGCCTCAAAGCAAGAAGGTTGCTGTTTTGAGTCTCGGCTGGGGCAGTTGGCATTTCTGTGTAGTTTGCATGTTCTCCCTGTGTTTGCGTGGGTTTTCTCCGGGTGCTCCGGGTTTCCCCACAGTCTAAAGACATGCGCTTTAGGTGAATTGAATAAACTAAAATTAGCCATAGAAAGAGTGTGTATGAGTGGACATCTGCTGCGTAAAACATGCTGGATAAGTTGGTGGTTCCTTCCGCTGTGGCAACCCCTGATGAATAAAGGGACTAAGCTGAAAAGAAAATGAATGAATGAATGAATGAATGAATTATTGCAAAGACTGGTCATTTTGCATGCTTTATAAGAACTCAGATTATCATCGGAAGCCAAAGGTATTGTGTTGCCTGCATATGTTTTTGTGTTGGTTTTTACTCTAAAAATGCAGGTAACCATTGACTTACATTTTATGAGTCACCAGGGAACATGTTTCATCTGATAATAATATACTGTTGTACTGAAGGACAAGAATCATCTTAGATTGCCCTATATTTACAGCACATTTAAGGGCGGAACTATCCCTCGAAAATAGCTTTTGTGAGCTTGTATTCAAATCCAAACGTATTTTGATTGAACTGTCTTTTTAAATGCTGTGAACTAAATTCAAATTATTATTAAATATAGAAATACAAAAATGATAGTGACGTACAGGCCCATAGCCTGGGTGGGTCGGGTAGTTTAAAGGGTCACGAAACACCAAAACACATTTTTTGAGCTGTTGACAGTCGTATATGTGTCCCACACTGCTAAAAACACTATTAGGACACCTATATTTCACTAAAAAGTGTAAATTGGTTGTTTTTGCGTTATTTCAAGCAAATTTGTACTTCCGGTTTGAAACGATTTTTTGAAGCTGCGTCACGGCCATGACATAATAGCGTTGTATTCCAGCGTGCAGACTGGGCGTCTGTGCCAGAGTGAGTCTTATTACGTCTTACAGTGTGATGCATTAATGCATGAGTAAGGCTTGGGTCAAACCAATCAGCGCGCTCTATTGTGCAACTTCATTAATATTCATTATTGTCACCGTGTTTACACCACAAAGACGCCACGTTGTGTTGGCAAAACAAGCGTGAAGTGTTGCTTTTATAGTTTGCTGCCGTTAAGTTTCGTTTTCATTTTCTCTCTGTGAGAGCTCTGAGTCACGTGTGGATTAACAGTGTACGCGACGCGCGACAACAATAACTTGAGTGTCTAAGGAGGATTATTGTTTACCTGAGAGCTGTTCTCATCTGCAAACGCTGAGATCTAGATTTGCTTGTAGTATTCTCTCCATAAAGACGCGGCTCTAGTTGCTGGTGATTGTTCTGTCTCTACAGATTTGGTAAGTGAGCGACCAGTGCTCTTTGTTTATTCAGTTTGTTCGTATCGAATTAAGTTAACTATTGCACTGAGTGCAGAAATGTTAGCACCGCATTTTGTGACCGGAATAACACACGCGGCTTTCTGACACTACCTGCCGTGTGCATCTAAGTTTCCGGGAAATGCAAGTTTTTTTTCTCTCATTCGCCGTGCGGTATCAAACATTGCATGAAAAATACACGCTTGCAGCAGTTCCTCGAATCAAATATCTCGTTTGTCGCGAGAGGCATGAATGAATTCCCTGAATGAAAGAGCCAAACTGCAGTTAAAGTCCACCATTTAATAATTTGGCAAATAATTCGACTACAGATGTCCATGTAGGTTAAACACCATCACTTTCTCCTGTCTGTGTGGGTGTGTATTTTGACTCTGAAACTCGCGTGTGCACAAATAGACACTCCCACACCATCCCACTTTAGTTCCTCCGACACTCCCCCCTAAACAGAGCTGGACACGCCCACTTTTCTGACTTTTTCCAAAGTAGAGGTGTGAAAACACCCTGCTGAAACGAGGGGGTTTCATGGCCCTTTAAAAGACCCACACCCCTTCAAAGTTCAAAATTCGGCCCCTATATGAGCTAATTTGTTCTATTTTTGAGAGAATACCATCATAAATTTTGAAAATAACCAATAGAAGAAGGCTTTAAGAAGAATAACCAATAAAATAACCAATAAAACAAGGCTTTTGTTAGTTAAATGGACAAATTGTGACTGAGGAAATGAGATGGCTAGTTTGTTATGTGCATGTTGTGGACAGTTCTTAATTTAAAACAGATCTTAGTTCTTAATCTTAACAGATTGCAATTTTTTATGATGGAGGATAATAAATGAGCATTTTATAAGCATTTTTTCATATTTCTAAAATTCTAATCTCATTTCATTTTATATGAAACTGTAATAACTTACAGATTAAATGTACATTTGTGAATAAAGATACATTTTTTCAAACAAAACATGTAGACATAAATGTAGGAAGTATTTTTGTTGCATGAAAAGGTGTGGTAATGATAACCAAGAGAAAAGAACCACCCCCTTTTAATAGGCTGGCTATGGGCCTGATGTAGGGATATGTAAGCTACATACTATTGAAACTACACAACTTCACTGTTTCAATTTACTATAATCTTCTATGTGAAGCTGCTTTGACACAATTTACATTGTAAAAGCGCTATAGAAATAAAGATTAATTGAATTGAATTGAATTAATAACGCCTCGTGTCAACAAAGCGCGAATCGCGGAGGAGTCGTTCATTTAATATGATTCATTTAAAAGGATTCACGCACCCTGTTTTGTCACGCGACTTCAAAATAAATACAAAGAGGTAAGAAACGCATAGCAATATTGCCTATTTAACGAATATATTTTAAAGAGGACACAGAAACACTACGTTAATGGACACATTTGAATTTATCTTATTACAAACAGTTATCTAAATTAAGACTTAAGTACCTAATATAAACTAAAATATTGTTGTGCACTGCGATACTGTCTTGTTCTGAGGTAATTCAATACGTATACTTAACTAAGTCAAACCAAAAATCTTCATACAGCGAGTACACGAGGACTTGTGGGAAAACTTTGAGTGATTGTTCAAATGAGTCGACTCCTTTAGAAAGAACCGAATCTCCGAATCATCCTCGTGCCTAAAGACAGAGTACAGAACATAAAAGGTGCTCAGTGCGCTTCAGCAGGACTCGACGCGGAGCTTCATTTTCTGTCTCTAGACACTGACCCAGCGCTTTATTTCAAATGAAGCGACCTTTCATTCAACTAATAAGTTTTTATACGTGATATAACAGCTGTCTTCGCCATGAGCTGCTTGGATGTCATGTATCAAGTTTATGGTCCACCTCAGCCGTATTTTGCAGCCGCATACACACCTTATCACCATCAGGTATGTTTACTATATAAAGTATAAAGTAGCTATTTATTTTTTCCTTTACAGAACTTTGTAGTTCGTTTGTTTTGATTCTGCTGGATTTGTGCGTAAAACTTTGTCTCAGCGACTTGTTGCGCCTTCATTTGCAGAATAGTTTACCAGCCATGAAAATAGTTTTACAATCATCCCCGCGTGTTGTTGTTGTTGTTGTTGGTAAAGAAAGAAATGTTCACTATTTCGAAATTAACATGCACATATTTTGCATAAATTAAATATGTGCACAGGTTTTGTTTAAAAATAAGCCCATGTTCAAAATGATTAAAATCTCTATTTAGAGGTTAATATTTAATACATATGTTAACGAAATATTATATACAAAAAAATCTTTCACGTATACTTTGTTAGATTTTATTTACTTATTTATTTTAAAATTAATTAATGAATTAATTATTATTATTATCGATGTTTTGTGTTTAGCCCAAGGCTATCCTGAATAATACGATTATAATATTAATAATACGTTCAATTTAAGATGTTATGTGTTATATATTTTGTTCGTTTTTAAATAATTTTGAAATGTTTAAAATAAATAAAGAATTTATTTATTTTTAGTATTTACCCCAAGCCTATCCTTAATAAAAAAGATTATTAATATAATTAATAATAAGATTAGTTTAAGCTTTCATATATTTTTTGTTTTTATGTATTTATTTAAATTTGTATTAATTATTATTATTATTATTACTATAAAATTTTTAGTGTTTACCCCAAGCCTATCTTTAATAATAAGATTATTAATAATATTATTAATAACATTAATTTAAGCTTTGACATATAGTTTGTTTGTTTTTATGTATTTAATATTTATTTATTTATTATAATTATCATCATCATTTTTTGTGTTTACCCCAAGCCTTTCCTTATTAATACGATTGTTATTAATATTAATATTCAGATTAATTAAACATTTCATATATATTTTGTTTGTTTTTATGTATTTAGTTTTTTTTATTAATTATTATCATTTATTTTTAATGTTTCCCCCAAGTCGAAGTCCTCAACAATAAAAAAATATGAACTTATTATGTCCTATAATTAGGTCGTGCATAAATGCTATACGTGTTTTACACTTTTATACAGATTTTTATATGGTGAACGCATCTACATTATTATTTGATCAGCAGAACATTATAAGACACAAGTGTAGTCATTCATCCCAATGCAATCAGAGATTACAGTAAATTAATTGATTGTTTTTTTCCATCTTTTCAGAAACTGGCATTTTACTCGAAAATGCAAGAATCTCCAGAAACAGTGAGTGGGAGCAGCTCTTCTTTTTCCAACCTCTCCGGGCCACCCATAAAAGAGGAAGACTGTGGCCGGGAGAAAGATCACCCGCCAGAGGCTGAGTACATCAGCTCCAGATGTGTGCTTTTCACCTATTTCCAAGGGGACATCAGTTCGGTGGTGGATGAACATTTCAGTCGTGCTTTAAGTCAGTCTAGTAGTTACGCACCTGGATCTACAAACAGCAAGACGGCAAGAGGCGCAGCATCCTGGAGAGGTAAGCCTCTGATGCAACCCAATAATTGTTTGGTAACACTTTACAATAAGGTTGTAATGTTAGTTAATGTATTTACTAACATGAAGTAACAATGAACAACACATCTATTACAGTATTTGTTAGTTTATGTTACCTCACAGAGCATTAACTAATCCTAACAAGCATGAATTTAGATGTTAATAATGCATCAGTAAATGTTCAATTATAATCAATAAATGCTGTGGTGTTGTTCATAATTAGTTCATGTTAGTAAATACATTAACTAATAAAACCTTATTGTAAAGTGTGACCAATCACGGATACTATAATTCAAATATCTTTTTCTCGCATTAAGACCATAGGGGTCATATTTATTACTTTGTTCTTTGTATGGTTTTCAGATTAATAGATAGGGATTAAAGAGCAAATGGAGTGTAATTAAATTAGGACCTACAGATAAACTGCATACCATTCAGTTTAATTCATCTGTATCATTAATATTATCACAACAGCATTATTTTATTAATTTAGTTGCATTGTTTCAAAATTGATATGTTTTTAAGGTGCATGCAAAGTAATGGATTGAGGACATACTGATCGTTGTGAACTTATTTTTACAATAAATGTTTACATATTACTTATTTTTACATTTATTGTAAAAATAAGTTCACAATTAACAGTATGTCCTCATACCATTACTTTGCTTTTAGCTTGCATCCTTTATCGGTTACACAGCTATTCTTATAAAAATGTGTATCAAATTGGAATACATAATATATAATATAATATGTATTATATATATATATATATATATATATATATATATATATATATATATATATATATATATATATATATATATATATATATACAGTTGAAATCAGAATCATTTAACCTCCTTTGATGTTTTTCTCTTTTTAAAATTTTTCCCAAATTATGTTTTTACAGAGCAAGAAAATTTCCATCGTATGTCTGATAATATTTTTTCTTTTGGAGAAAGTCTTATTTGCTTTATTGTGACTGGAACAAAAGAAGTTTAATTGTTTAAAAAACATTTTACAGTCAAAATTATTAGCCCTTTTTTGATAGTCTACAGAACAAACCATAATTTTACAATAACTTCCCTAATTACCCTAACCTGTCTAGTTAACCTGATTAACCTAGTTTAGCCTTTAAATGTCACTTTAAGCTGTGTAGAAGTGTCTTGAAAAATATCTAGTAAAATGTTATTTACTGTCATCATGGCAAAGATAAAATAAATCAGTTATTAGAAATGAGTTGTTAAAACTATTATCTTTAGAAATGTGTTGTAAAATCTTCTCTCCGTTAAACAGAAATTGGGGGAAATAATAATTCTGACTTCAACTGTTTATATATATTTTATTCCATTCTTAATAACTGCACCACTATTAGTCAGTTGGAACTTTTTTATTGAACTGCATTTTATTGTATTGTAATTGTATTATTTGCATTGTTTCAGACTTTGATTTTAAAACCTAATAAACATCAATTATATTATCATATACAAAGAATTATGATATAACTACGACTTCATTTTTTCCCCACAACCAACTTGCTGCCTTCACTCAAAAATGATTTTTGCTGCTTGTTAAAACTACTTATTTAAAAATTATTTTAAAGACACAATTCTTACTTTTTTGGGGGGGACAACTTAACAATCTTATGTCCAAATGGGCTAATTTTGTAAAAACAATTAAGCTAACTTAATCGATTTGTGTTAGAAAAATATAATGCAATTGTGTGGAACCCAACATTTTTTTTGACAGTGTTTACATTTTATTTAAACCAAAAGTGGAAGATTCATCAACAGCCAAATCAATCAACTGCTGTGATATATAGATCAAACACATCTATATACAGAATATAAATACACAAAACATCTCAATAATAATAATAATAATAATAACAATAGTAATTTAGACTTGTAGATTTAGCAACAGATTTTTCATATTATTTATATACTGCAATACTCAAAAAATTACGTCTGCTCTTTGTTCAAACAACTTATTTAAAATAAGCTAAAACAACACTTGTTAATTTTTTGGTAGGGAAACTTAATTGTTTTATGTTCAATCCATTTCAATTTGTAAAATCTAATAATCTAACTTAATTCCTTCATACAAACTGAGTGTACTCTACTGATTTAAAGTGCTTTATTTATCCTCACTTATGGAAAAAAAGCATCTGTTCAATAATCAAATATAAACGTCAATCCGTTCCTCCGCAGATGGATCATTCCCTATGAGCCAGAGAAGTTTTCCTCCTTCCTTCTGGAACAGTGCTTATCAGCCCTCAGTCGCAGCATCTCTCAGCAGCGCATTAGGTTCGTCCCACACAGACCTTCCCTTCCCAACAGACCCGTACTCCAGCGCATCTCTACACAGCCACCTCCACCAAACCACCCCAGAGCCGTGGCACCCGTCCCACCACCATCACCCGTACTCGCTCAGCGGAGCCATCGGCACCCAAGGGTCCACTTACCCCCGGCCCTCAGTGCATGACATGTACGGGACGCATTTTGACCCCCGTTACGGCTCCCTGCTCGTACCCTCAGTGCGGCCGCATAGACTTCCTTCTGCAACGGTGCCTGCACCGGGATCCTCGCCCTGTGATATCAGCAAGAGCGAAGCAGGCAGCTCGGGATGGACCGGAGCTTTTACAGCGACCAGCTCTGATATGAGTCTGAACATGGATACAGGTGTGAACATGAAGCTTAAACACAGCGGGTGTTAATGCACGTGAGGTAGACTTAAACTAAATGTTAAACTGAATGGCGTTTACAGATGAAGTCAAATATTTCCCATATGATGTTTAACCGCAAGGAATTTTTCACAGTATTTCCTATAATATTTTTTCTTCTGGAGAAAGTGTTATTTGTTTTATTTTGGCTAGAATAAATTTTTTTTTTTTCAAAATTTTAAGGTCAATATTAGTCGCCCCCCTTAAGCAATATTTGTTTTTAATTATAGAACAAACCACTGTTGTACAATGACTTAACTAATTACTGTAACTTGCCTAATTAGGCCTTTAAATGTCACTTTAAGCTGAATACTAGCATTTTAAAAAACATCTAGTAAAATATTATGTACTGTCATCATGGCAAAGACAAAAGAAATCAGTTATTAGTTATTAAAACTATTAAGTTTTGGAAATGTGTTATATTATTACTTCTTGGAGAAATAATAATAATAATAATAATACTTTTATTACTAATAATTCAATAGGGCTTATAATTCAGACTTCAACTGTACTTTAGGGAAAACATGGTAAGACTTTGCAACTGCAGTAGTACAGTAGTTAATGTATTTACTAACATGAACAAGCAGTGAACGATACACCTATTACAGTATTTATTCATTGTTAGGAAATCTTTCATTGTTCATTTTAGTGCATTAACTAATGTTAACAAGCATTTTAGTAATGCACTAGTAAATGAACTATGATCATTAATAAATGCGGTACTAGTATTTATGCAGATATACTTAAAAAAAAGAATGGATGTTATTGCATTTGACAACTTAGTGTTAAACCGAATGGCATTTACTTTAGGGAAAATGCGGTAAGACTTTGCATTAAGGATGTATTATAGTAGTTGTGTATATAAAATGTATTTACTAACATGAACAAGCAGTGAACGATACACTTACTTACATGAGAAAAAGTATGGATGTTATTGCATTTTAAAACTAAATGTTAAACTTGAACGACATTTACTTGTTAAATACAGTGAGACAGCATGTGAATTACGGGGGGGTTTAGGGGGGTGATTGACCCCCCTAATTAATGCTTGATCCCCACTGAAGGACGTCAGAGCAAGATATATGGGGTGGGGGTCAGTCCTTTAATACTTGAAAATATTTCACTCTGATCTGTATTTAAATAATAATGTTAATAATTAAAATAATACACATAAGTATACATATGACCACCCCTATAATGCTTCAAAACATTGAGAATACATAATCGCGCCAATCAGTCTATTCAAGAAAAAAATCTGAAACTGTCAGATCACCAATAGACATTGTGTTCACAAAGACTTTGTTTTCTTGTAAAATAGGTGTTTCTATCTATATTTAGTCTGAAGGTAAATTCGAATTAGACGCATAGTTGTAGTTTAACCTACAGTAACATCTGAAATGGTTCTAATCCGAAAATACTGTGGGTCAGATTACAAACAGATACGTTTTATTAATAAACTAGATGTAACTAAAAATAAATACATGAATGACGAAAGCACGTATTACACAAACTAACCAAAACAGTTGACCACCCTGATCGTCAATTTATAATTGGCACTCTGCGGTAAGGCTTTATAATATGGTTGTATTAGTTAATGTAAAAGTAATGGTAACACTTTATTTTGATGGTTCTTTTGAGTATTAGTAGACTGTCTGCTTAATACCTGCTGATACCGCTCCATCAATAGACATTTAACTGACTATCAGAGACTTTGCAAGTGTATGTCAACTTAAACTAACCCCAACCCCAACCTACAGTCTACTTATAATCTAATAAGAATTAGTTGGCATGTAGACGCAATGTTACTTAAATTCAACAAACTGATCATCAACATAAAGTGTGACCAAAGTAATTAGTACATTTTTAAAAATGTAATTGGTTAAAGTTGTAATTTGTTAATTAATTTTTACTAAGATGACCAACCAGTGAGCAATACCCTTATTACAGTATTTATTCACTGATCGTTAGGTACTGAAAATAAAGTCATCAATAGTTTGTTCATGTTAGTGTATTAACTAATGTTAACAAGCACGAATTTGGATTTTAATCACGCATTAGTAAATGTTAAACTATAAATAATAAATGCACAATTATTAATTATTATTTGTTCATGTTAGTAAATACATGAACTACCTTTAACCAATTGAAACTTTTTTATAAAGTGGGACTGAAAAATTAATTAAGGGACTAAGCCGAAAAAAAAATAAATGAATTAATTTTCCATTTAAATTTATTTAAAATCTAATTAATTCTTGTGATGCAAAGCTGAATTTTTCAGTGTCACTTCTTCATTTTTCCCTGTCAGTGATATTAGTTTCAGATTTATTTGCTGCTTAACAAAAATTTATTTTTATTTATTTTTATTTATTTTTATTGTTAAAAATGGTTGTTTTACTTAATAGTTGTATGCAACATGTGATATATTTTATTATAATGATGAATGAAAAGTTTAAAAGAAAAGCAATTATAAGAAACATTAATATTCAAAAACATATTTAAAATAGTTTTTAATCAGTTCAATTGCTAAAATTTATACTTTTGATACTTTTTTTTTTTACTTAATTAAAAAAAAAGGCAAACAGATGCAGGAGACTGCAAGGAAACATCTAGATCAAGGATTCCCAAACTAGGGCCCACAGAAACCTTTGATTTGGCCCACCATCCCCTCTGTGAAGAGAGGATGAATGATGGGCATGGTTTAGAGGTTGTCATTTCAAATCTAATGTAACCTTTTTTTGTTTGTTTTATTGTTAAAAGCTAACTGAAATTAAAATTTTCAATTAAATGGTGTAAATTAATCAGATTTAGTTTAAAAGGTACATACTGTCACCCGACAGATAAAGCACAAATCAAAGCAAAGGCAAATTCTGCTTTTGTATTCAACATTCAATTCCAACATGTTATAAATGTAATTGTCTATATTGTTATTGCAGTAAGTTATCATTTTAAATGTTTTTACTGCATTAGTTAACATGATTTAAAGTAATGTTTTTTTCCCTTTACAGTATTTACTTCTAAATCTTACTAAATAAATTGGGAAATTACCCATGGCGACTTTAATGTAAAATAGTTAGGTATATTTACTTCCGTCTCACGGCTCTCTGTGTTATTTGGCTTTTGGCCCTTTATACGAAAAGGTTTGGGCACCCCTAAACTAGATCTTTCATTTTTACAAAATCCCTTACAAACTAAAGTCTGATATTTCATTTATCTTCAGAAAAAAAACACTTAATTTCTTTTTAAAAACGTTCTAAACCAAATTTAATAAAAGATGACAGAAAATAAGGAATTTCTGAGTTTGTTTGCAAATGCTACTTCGTTTAATTCTTTGTTCTCTAATGCAGTGACATTTCTACATGACTTTTCAAAGCCACCAGAGGTTAAATTCTCAGAATAAAAAAGCCAAACGTATAATGTAAAACATAATACCGTCTGAGAGCTTCTTGTAGCACTCTGCATGATCAATTTGCCAATTTATTCTCACTTTTTTCTAGTTACCTTCAAGGTTTTTCACCTTTGCTCTTCTGATATTGATTTTCACTCTTCGTCTTTAAGGCTTTCTTTGCTTCCAGCCTTCACTTCTCTCTCTCTGTGTATTTGTTGCTTATTTTCTCTCTCTTCATTTCCTTATGCTTTTTTTTCTCTCCCTATTCCGTCTTTCTCTCAGGTCTACAGAGCCAAGATAAGAGCAAGGACTTGTACTGGTTTTAAAGCCCTGCGGCCACTTCTTTTTCTCCGCTGGCTTGTCTTTCTCTGGCTTTTCTGTAACAGATTCTCATCTCACTTGCAGCTCGGCGCTACACGCTCTGCAGCGGGACCATCCTAAGCTGAAAGTGGAGTAAAAAAAAACTAAACTCTCCGTTGAGAGGAGCAAACGTACTGTATTGGTGTGACTAGCAGCTGCTCAATCCCTCCCCCGACCTTCAGCAAAACTGACCCAAAATCAGGTTTAAATATGGACTAGGTTTCTTCAGGAGGATATTTGAGAGCCAAAATGGCAGAAAAGTAAAAGACTTTTTTTTTTTTGACCAGAACTGAGATGTTTTGACGAAAGAGCAGCATTCCCGATCATCTCTGGGTTATTTGAAGCCGCTTGACTCTATCTATATTGCTTTCAGCACCTGTCATGGACAACTGTTGTGGAACTTAACAGGCACAGTGCGCCGTTTGACCGAGCGAGAGCCCTGGAGTTCACAAAAGAGCCGTTTTGTTGTAGCTGGACACACGGCGAAAGGGAACAACTGGTTTGGCTTTTCTGTTTCTTTTTTTTTTGTCAGGCATGTTGTGGATTTAACTGGAATAAGATACACCAGCCTGATCTCATGAGGAAATGTAACTACAGTTAAAGTCAAAATTATTAGCTCTTTTTCAAATATTTCCCAAATGATGTTTTACAGAGCATTGAATTTTTCACAGTGTTTCCTATAATATTTTTTCTTCTGTAGAAAGCCTTATTTTTTTGTATTTCGGCTAGAATAAAAGCTGTTTTTAATTTGTTATTAATCATTTTAAGGTTAATATTATTAGCCCTCTTATACAATATTTATTTTTCGTTTATCTACAGAACAAACCTTCGTTATACAATGCCTTTAATTTGCACTTTAAGCTGAATACTAGTTTCTTGAAAAATATATTGTCAAATATTATTTACTGTCATCATGAAAAAGATAAAATAAATCAGTTATTATAAATGAGTTATTAGACTATTATGTTTTGAAATGTGTTGAAAAAATCATTTAAAGAAATTGGAGAAGAAAAATATACAGGGGGGCTAATAATTCTGACTTCATCTGCATTTAATGTATTGTCCCACAAACCCTACCCCTCATTATACGATGAGCAAATCATACTAAGGTGTATGAACGAGAATGTACAAATTAGCCACTAAATCAACAAGTCACGAATTGCCATGAGATTGTGTTGGACACACACAGTTAAGCTGTACTGTATATATTTTAAGTGTTTTAGTGTGTCTACATGTAAAGATCAAACAGCATGTCAGGAATATTTGTACTTTTTTATGAATTTTTTTTTTGTCATCATCAACTTAGCCCAAAGTATGCTTCAATTTATTTTACACAGTCACATGCACAGCCTTTTAAAGTACTCCATTTGATGGTGTGTGCAAAAAGTGACAAATAATGCCACAGCGGAATGAACCACCTATTATTTCAGCATATGTTTTACACAACTGCAACTAAGCATTGGGAAACACTTTACTCTTTTACACACTATGGACAATTCAGTTGATCAAATTCATCTATAGAGCATGTGTTTGGACTGTGGGGGAAACCGGAGCACCCGGAGGAATCACAGATAGAACATCCAAACTCCACACAGAAATGGCAACTGACCCAGCAGGAGATCAAACCAGTGACCTTCTTGCTGTGAGGTGACAGTGCTAACCACTAAGCCACCATGCCGCCCAAAAAATGACATTGTACTTGAAAATAGTACATGAAATTTACCTAAAATAGAGTCACAATCAACATTTAATAACTCAACATAAGCACTAACTCAACACGTTTATGTTCAATTTTTTAAATGGATAGTTGAACCAAAAATGAAAATTCTGTCAACATTTACGTACACTTTACTTTTCTTTCTTGGTAAACACAAATGTTTCTTTCTTGTTGAACACAAAAGAAGATATTATGAAGGAAGCCTGAAACCTGCACTGACAAAAATTATTGAAAGATGATTCCTTGGATTTACTCATTTTTGTTTTACGTTAAGTGGTTTTAAACAATTTATTTGGGCTGAATTTAAACAAATTAAGTTGAACATTATTAAATTTAATTTGTTTGTTTAAATTCAACACAAATAAATTGTTTGCAACAGTTCTGCATGCAACATTGCAGCCATTGACTTCAATAGTAACTATGTGAGTCAACGGTCATACACAGCAAAATCCTCTGCGTAAAATTGACTTAGTTTAGATAGTATTTGGTCCCTCTCTAAATTGAGTTAAAGTAACTCAAGTCAATGACACAATGAAAGGATTAATTAAGTGATGATTGAGGACTGATGATGAACACCTGCTGTTAATAAGCAGAAACACGGATAAGAAACAAAAAACTACATCTGACTACATCACAGCCTTAGATGAAATCAGCTGAAATATAATTCAATTCAGTTTTATTTTAATTCTATAGCGCTTTTACAACGTAGATTTTGTCAAAGCAGCTTCACATAGAATATTATAGTTATACATTGAATCTCTTAAAATCTCAGCAGAGGATCATTAAGCAACTCCACAAACAGTAGCTTTGCTTTTTACCAACTTGTTTGCAATTATTTAAAGAGGGACCAAATACTCTCTGAACTGAGTAGATTTTACTCAGAGGATTTTGCTGTGTAGGTGTTCAGATTTCTTCAAAATATCTTCTTTTGTGTTCAACAGAAGAAATAAACTCAGAAACGTTTGCATTCATATGAGGGTGAGTAAATAGTGATGACATTTTCATTTTTGGGTTTTATATCCCTATTAACAATGGCCTGGTTTGGTGTTGTCATCTTGTGGACAAACTAAAGTAAAGCAAAAACAATTAAAAATGGCAAAAATCTGGCAGTTCTGCAGTGTTCTTACTGCAAAATTTAAGTCGTATGCACTGTACGCAGATCATTATAGACACGTAAAAAATTGAAGTTTTTTTCAAAGCACAAAGTATACATGTGGTATGTTAGCATACACACAGTCATTCAAAGTATCCTCTATTACAGTGTCTCTCAACCATGTTCCAGGAGGACCACCAATGTTGCATGTTTTGGGTGTCTCCTTTGTCTGTTACGCCTATTACAGGTCATTCAATCTCTGCTAATGAGCTGATGATCTGAATCAGGTGTGTTTGGTTAAGGAGGCATGGAAAATGTGCAGAGCTGGTGGTCCTCCAGGAATGTGGTTGAGAAACACTGCTCTACTAGAGAGTGTGCACAAACACAGGTACTTTACACATTCGCACTAGAAGTTTTCATCTTCATCCAGATTCTGAACTCTTTATCTTCAAATTTTGAAGAGCTTCAAATATGTCGTTGCACTTGTTTGAACTGGATATCTATTAATTGCCTCACGCTATCACTCTTCAATGTGGGCATCAGTGGTTTTTGCTGTCTTCAGTTTGCCGTTGTTTTCATGTCAATGTGACTGCAGTTCATTACTATTGAATTTTTTATTACCATTACATTTTTATTACATGTTTTAGTATAATGTGGTCATGCCGCCAATGTTTGTGGGTATGTTTAGGAGCAGTGTTGGGAAATACTAATTTTATTATTTATCATAAAATTAGTAATGTTAATACAAAAATGTATTATTTTAAATATATTACATATTATAAAATAAATAAATTACAAAAAATTGGCAAAAATAACACAACACATTACTCTTGTTAAAAAGTAACAGTTACTTTTTTTTTTTTTTTAAAGTGACTTAAGATAGTATATTACTTTTAAAAGTAACTTTCCCCAACACTGGTTAAAGAAAATAGTACATATTAGTATTAATTGCATTGCACCAATTCATCAGTTTTCAACAATTTATAAAATAGTTATGTTTTTCCGTCAAATAAGGCTAAAAAAGATGGGGGTCTGGATGCAGACCTGGTGCAGTTGCAATCTAAGCTGCATGCAAATGCTTGTTAATGCCCACACTTAACCCTACCCCTCACAGTGACGTCACTAGCTTCATTGAGTGAGCAGTGTCTGACATTGCATCTCTGAGATAATGCAAGAACAGCTTGCATCAATAAGGCTGCATCCAGATACTATTGAAAATGCAGTCCTGTAATGTTGAGGTAGTGCAAAAACTATTAGTTACACAAAGGTTGTTTGAAAGCCTAGCCTGATCTCACAAGTTAATGTAAATATTTTACATTTTGTCAGTTTATTGGCTAATTTATATAAATTTGTACGCGTTCAGTCGTATGAAAATGTACAATTTTAAAAAGAAGGCGTGGCACCCAATGCCATCCCTGAATGCAACTGTCATTGTTAGATAAGCAAATCATACTAAATTGTACGAATCAGATCTTGAGAAAACATAAGTATTTTACGTTTTGTTAGTTTAATGGATAACTCGTACGAGTTCAATCGTATGAAAATGTACAATTTTAAAAAGAAGGCGTGGCACCCAATGCTACCCCTAAACTCAACCATCAATGGGGGATAAGCAAATCGTAATAAATTGTACGAACCAGATCTCATGAGAAAACGTAATTATTTTACATTTTGTCAGTTTAGTGACTAATTCATACAAATTTGTACGCGTTCAGTCATATGAAAATGAACGATTTTAAAAATGAGGCGTGACACCCAATGCCACCCCTGAACGCAACCGTCATTATCGGATAAGCAAATCATAATAAATTGTACGAATCAGATCTTGCGAAATTTAAGTATTTTACGTTTTGTTAGTTTAGTGGATATCTCAGACGAGTTCAGTCATATGAAAATGTACGATTTTAAAAAGAAGGCGTGGCACCCAACGCTGCCCCTGAATCCAACCGTCATTGGGGAATAAGCAAATTGAACTAAATAGTACGAATGAGATCTCATGAGAAAACGTAAGTATTTTACATCTTGTCAGTTTAGTGTATAATCTGTATGAGTTCAGTCGTATGAAAATGTACAATTTTAAAAAGGCATAGCACCCAACACCGCCCCTAAACCCAGCCATGAGCAAATTGTACTAAATTGTATAAATGAGATCGTATGAATTCATACGAATTAGCCACTAAACCAAAAAGTTATGAATTGCCATGAGAATGTTGTTTGAAAGCTGCGTCTATCAGCTAATCAATCTATGAGCATACAATATATATATGAGCAACCCCGACGGTAGAATAGACAAT